GTGTGTGTGTGTGTGTGTGTGTGTGTGTGTGTGTGTGTGTGTGTATGTGTGTGTGTGTGTGTTGGTGATTCGGTGCACATTAAAAAAACGCGCTCACGGACATGTAAACTATAGCTTGTTGCTGCGCTATTTAGGAATAGATCGACCGACTGGACTAAATAAGGGCGCCCGTATTTTTTCGGAAAACAAGCGCTGGAGAAAATGTGTCGCCGGCGAATACTGGCCGAGGAATATCTCCGCCTGCAATTATTCTGAGAGCAACAACCTATGTAATTCCGTCTGGATATGGATCGAGAGAATAGCGGCATCTATGTTCGTTCGGAATGTGTACGACCCAGTGAATCTGTGGCGTCGTCTGACTGATGGTCCAGATCAGTCAGTCTATGGGCGTGATATATACTAAGGATGCTTCAACGTTTCTCTAAATGTGTTTCTCCGTTTCTCTGTGCGTACGTACGTGCGTGCGTATGCACGTGTCTGTGTCCCGACATGGGTGCGAGTCGTACGCGACTCTGTGAAGCCTGCAATGCAGAATTTATGTTTGAAGCCGCGCGCACTGTATTAAGTTACGGGCCCCCTCTGGCGAGAAAACATCTAACGATATGATTAACAAGTTCTTTCTACATTCCTGAATGACGGTCGCCCGACAACGCGCGCACACATTCGCTGGCACGCTCGATGTTCCCGCACAGAGACATCTAATTCAATGGCACGAGATGGAGCCGTAATGCAATGCAAATATAATGTAAACATGCTTAATTCGCCAGCCATCTGGCTCCGTGCGATATACGAGAGTTCTCGCGGCTGTTACACGCGCGTGTATGGAGAAGGTGGCTTGATGTATGCACTGTTGAATCGCAATTGACTGCATCCTCGCGAAGGACTTAATATAACCCTAATCCTATGCTACCAGACGTAAACACATGCAGTATTCATCGACGGGTTCTATCCATCGGCGCACGCTTGACGGCAAAATGTAACGAATAGTGAATAATCGGCAGACGAAACAAATATCTGGTCTGTCGTTGGTTCTTCAGTATTGGTTCGCACGTGTTCATAGTCACACGCGCGACCCGTTTTCCCCGCGATGTTTTGAGGGGTATTATTCGCTTCCCTTCACCTGAGACGCAATCGCATTACTCGCGATAGATAACAGGATCTTTCCCTACAGGATCTTTCCCTCTCGTCACGCCGTCTTGTGCACACGAGCGGGGAGGAGGGAGAGGACGGGGAGAGCATAGCAGCGCAGCCGGGGTACGGCATCGCTCGCGCTGTTTGCGATCGGATTTGAGCCGCTGTTTGTTTTCGACTATTTCATAATCAATTGCCAGCCTCCGCGCGGCTAAAATTAGACGCGGAGGCTAGGAGCTTAGAGAGGACGATGCCGGTAAAACCCCCTCCGCTCTCGTGCGCGTGCGCGCGTGCGTGCGTGCGTGCGTGCATGCGCGGCGTCTGCGCTCTGTCAAGCTTTCTAAATACGATATAGCCTTCCGATCGAGCGCATCTCTTAAGACTTTGTTGATTTGTTTTCTGAATCCAGCTGCCACTGTGCGGTGCGCTGCGCCGGCGGCGGCGGTTGAAATTGCCGCGAGTGGGAGAAATGTAGCGGCATGCACGTCAAACTGTGGTGGTGGTTGAGTTAAGCCACCCCTCTGCGCACGCCCGCGTTCTGTATCGCTGTAAGCGGAGAGCAAAGAGCATGTTCGATTGCCGCGGCGCCCGTATTGGGTTCTCTCATCGTTAAGCCGTACTTCTAAGTGGCGAACAAAACGTTTGCGTGCACCCTCGAGAGATTGCTCGAGCGAGATAACACGAGCCTGCATTTCACAGGACGGGATGTTGCGCATAGGCAAAAACAGAGTGTGGTTGCGTTCGATGGGTATACTGCTACTATATGATTGCTAGCATCAAAAGACGTGATTATGTATTTGCTGTTGATCCGACTGATCTGTTAACAGATCTGTGGTGATCCCGCAGTACTCGATGCGTCATTTACATGTACAAGTTGAATAATTACCCAGCAAAAAGTTTAAAAGTCAGAAGCGCAATAACCGGCGTCATTTTGAGGATTAAACCGGCCGTACCATGATAAATCATTTGCCTGCAATTAAATGTATTTTTAAGGGCCGGTCTTATGGTGCACTGAACTAGCTATACTCAGCTATTTGCATTCAATGTTTTTAGCCTTACGTCACGTTAAGTGTGTCCCGTATCTGCTAACGCCACACCTCCTGCTGAAAGTGTTTGTATCGCCGGTTGGTGGCTTCAATAAATACAGATTTCCGTGATTACGGGTACAGTGATGACGTGTGTACATGTATGGTTTCTTATGCGCGTGTATGTGTTCGTGCCTGCGTGCGTGCATGCGGGCGTACTTGCGTGCATGCGGTGCTGCGCGCGCGCGTGTGTGTGTTTATGTGTGCGTGTGCGTGTGTACGGTGCTGCGTGTATGCGTGCGTCCGTGCGTATGCGGTGCTGCGTGTCTGCGTGCGTGCACGGTTTCTCAATCATCATCATCGTCATCAATCATCAAACAGCAACTCAATTTCTCTCTCCGGTCTTGCAGGGCTTCTCAGCAGCTCGCTGTTCGAGTTCAAGGAGGAGGCGTGCGACGGTAGCATGATGCTCATCCGCTGTCCGTCCGGCACGACCGTCGACGTACAGAACGCTATCTACGGGCAGGCGAAGAGCGGCAGCATGCTCTGTCCGATGATGACCGGCGAGGAGGCCGGCTACCAGGACACGGGCTGCCCGACAAACCCGGCCTTCCAGGTGCGGGGAGTCGTAGTTTGTGGCGCCGGCAGCGGCGTCGTTGCCGCTGTTAGTGTCGTCGTGTAGCGTCGTCGCCGTTACCGTCGTCGTTATTGTTGTTGTTGTTGTTGTTGTTGTTGTTGTTGTTGTTGTTGTTGTTGTTGTTGTCATTGTCGTCGTTGTTGTTGTCGTCATTATTGTTATTGGCATTGTCGTCGTCATTGTCATTGACCTCATTGTCATTGTCGTTACTGTCGTCATCGTCATCGCCATTGTCGTTATTGTAATTGTTGTTGTTGTCTTTGTGATGTCTCGTGTTTATCATTACCGGTGTAATCATTACTGTGTCATTATCGTTGTTAAAGAATGTCATCATAATCGGCGTCGTCGTCGTCGCCGTCGTCGATAACAAAATGATAATGACCAAACAACATAACGACATCGCCGCTGTCGCCGATCATTTGTCATCCTCTTTATTATCACCTGACATCGCTGTTATGAAAATTATTAACACATTACTCACTTTTGCGGTTATTGAGGTCATAATTACAGTTTACGTATAGTTGTGAATCCATTTACCGACTCGTGCGAGGCTGTAACTACGTTTTTTCAGCTGCGGCATGTTAACGCCTTTGATTGTATCGTCCCCCAAGGACAATTCCGCGAAAAAATTGCGGTCGTAAACAAACCAATAACGCCTTTTTAACGGCCCTGCGTTCGTTTTTAAAAACAGATTCGTCTTTCCTCGCCGGTGATCCGATATTGGCGCACAGCGCCCGCGCTTAATTGAACCTGCGATCGAGTGCGAACGTTAAAATGCCGTTCCGTGAAGTGTTATTAATTTATTGGCAATGTGCGGCAGGGCGTTTTGCTACCGGAGTCCGATGCGAACAGATGCGAATGCGTTTCGCCCTGTTCCGAAATACCTTCGTCATTTTTTCGCGCGCCATCGCAACATATTGATGTTTCGAACGGACGCGTTTTTCAAGTTTATTTTCGTCGCTGTGCGAGGCTATTAATAGTGTCTGATGTCGTAGGAACGCGGATTTTCTTCTTTGAACTGTAACATTAAAAATAATAGTTAATGAGCTCGTGTGTGATTCGTGGATTTAATATCAGCGGTGGAACACAGAGCGTGCTCTATACTATGGAATGAGGGATTGGGAAGGGAAATCTTGAATGACAGAACGACCTGAAAGAGGGGGAGCCGTGATGGTCGGGAGACGTACGGGGGAGGGAGGTGGTAGTTCGTCTGGGAAGGGGACGCGAGGGAAGAGGAGACGTGAGGGAGGGGGAGCCGTGATGGTTTCGGGAGACGTACCGGGGAGGGAGGTGGTGATTCATCTGGGAAGGGGAGGCGAGGGAAGAAGAGACTTGAGGGAGGGGGAGCCGTGATGGGGGGATACGTGAGGGAAGAGGAGACGTTAAGGGTAGGAACACACGAGGGAGGGGACGCGTGAGGGAAGAAGAGACGTGTTAGAGAGGAAGGCGTAATGGCGGGGTGTACGTAAGGGAAAGGGAGACGTAAGGGGTGGGAACACAAGAGGGAGGGGAGACATGTGGGGCCTACATGCATTGACGTCCCATCTTGGTTATAAGCGAATTATAGTATATAGAAGAATCTGCGTGGATTTCCCATCGTCTTAAGTTATGTAATACTATACATCAAGGACATCAGAAATCGATGTTGTCTCATTAAACATCAAAGTCGCTGTTTTCATTTGAATTTCAATTGGGAACTAGTCAGCGTTGTACTTCCTGTCCCAGTCTCATGTATATTAGCAGACACTGATTTTCGTTTCAGCCTCTTGTGTTTTTTCTATTTTTGTTATTTACACGTTCCTTTATGTTTCTCTCCAGGGACACGAGGATGCGTTAAAACTAATATTTTATCAGGTATATTGTTTGCGACAGTGCTCGCCACATTGATGCAGCGCATGCGTTTCTTACACTCGCGTGTGACGCTAACGTGTCTAACTAACATTACTGACAAGCCCGACCACGCATGCTCGGCGGAGATTCCTAATTAATACGTAGACTACAAATGCGATGATGCGATGTATATATATATATATATATATATATATATATATATTCACGAGCATGATGTAGAGTATGATGAAACCTAGTGGTTTGTCGCCTTAAGCGAAAAGCTCCATTAAGTTTTGTTTACATAGAAATATCTACGGATGGTTGCCCTGTCGCCTTTAGCTAGATACTATATGGGCTTTTATACAAATTCTATAGAAAACTTGGATGAGCGTTCCTCTATTGAATTTCTAGGAAATCTTATCGGTGTAAGTGCGGGTGGAATAATGGTGATAATATTTAACTCGCAGCGTATAAATCACCAAGTAATTTGCTTTCCAAAACGTCATTAGAAACTATTGGCAATAGTTTTCTGTTTGGATGTGCTTCACTTGAGTTACGGAGGAATCGCTTTTACGTCGCTGACACGTTTGAAAGCTTGATTAGTAGAGAAATCGGACCTATACGTCGTGAGTCATGGGCATGCCGGTAGAAATTCAATTAGATTCTCGCGAGTTCATCAGGTTTTGAAGGCTGATCGAACAAACCAATCAATCAGCGGCCCTAGCTGGTTGGCTTTACCGGATCACTTTTTCTGTACGTACTTTCGAGCTTAGTCACGAGAGGGAGCGGGGCAGCAGTTACTAGGGAGTGTGTTGGGAAAATAAACACTGAGGGGTAGCCGGTGAGAAAAAGGGGGCGTGAGATATATATATATATATATATATATAGAGAGAGAGAGAGAGAGTGTGTGTGTGTGCGTGCGTGCGTGCGTGCGTGCGTGCGTGCG